GAGCTGTGAAATGACAACCACTGAACATGAACACTGTCCTTCATTCACAAAAAGTTAAATAAAATAAAAGAAAGGGAAATTCATGGAAAAAAATAAGCAGGTAACAAAAGCTAAAGAAAATTCCATCATTTACGTTTCGAAAAGCAGACAGTGATCTAATTAAGGGATGGGACTGCATGGTTATATACGATGTAATTTATTTTCTCCAGTCACAGACATTAGTGAAGGCTTGTCATGAATAGCAAATGAAGCGTTAATGAGGAAACAGATTTCCGCATACCTTAGGACAAATATTTATGCGATTATGAAAGATATTTTGCTTATGAACTGAACTGAATGATTGATAGTAAAAATCTGCACTATTTAGGAAAAATTCAAAAGCCTATCTGAAAGCCCAGCTTACCAAGTTATCTGAGCCCTGAAAATATCAGGACCTCATTAACAAAGACTTCTACAAAACCAGTATTACTGTGCATATAAATAATTGAAAGGCCACATTCAAAAACTACTGAGTTACATATACTTCCGTGGGAGCTCACCTGCATGTGGGCCTTTGACGCAGCATAGTGAAGGGGTGTCTGTCGTGTCTTGTTTCTGACACTAACGGACGCGCCTTTCTCTATCAAGAATTTGACAATGTCGGTCCTTCCAGCCGATGCAGAGATCATCAAAGGTGTCCACCCGGCCTAAAAAAATAAAGTCTAAAAATAACCCATCAAAATTTAAATAAAAAACCAATACATCGTCCGGTTCATCAAAGCCAGCTTTTGAGTAATCGAACAAAAACTGAACAATCTCTGAATGACCCGCAGAGCAAGCCCAGTGTAACGGAATTCGACCACTCTAAACTAATTTATAGTTATCCTGCAGCTAGAAACAAACGACACGATTTAAAATTTTAAGGGTACGGTTAAAATTTTATTTCAAGACAATTTATTTTTACCAGAAGGCGTTTATTCACCGTAAACTGTCATCTGAAATATGAACATAATAACCATGAAACCGCTTGAATTCTTAAAGTCAGGAAAATTTGCATTCGTTAAATATATGACGGGCGGGATAAAGCTGTAAAAGCCTGAATTTGGATGCATAATTTGCAGTTGAATTTTTCTGTGTCCTTAAAAGAGAACCCGAGCTGCAAGACCCATAGCTTCTACAAAATAATGAAATTAACATTCTGTTAATATACATACATTTCATTATCTTTTAAACATGAATATAAACATAAAAGCAGTACTAGCTGCTAAAATACTTTTCGTAATGAGGGTGAGGTGAGTCTAGCGAAGAAAACGATGAGATGCATTCGGAACTGCACACTCTCGCATATCGTGTAGCCATAGTCTGCCAACGATTAGGATCATTGGGCGGTACAATACGACATGAAATTTGATCTTGGATGAGTTATGTGCCAGTTAATATACTCGCCACAGGAATATACTTTGAAACCGATGCGTAAGTATATAAACAGCACCAACTTCAAAAATATGCTTAGTAATGAGAGAGACAGATCCAATGAAGGAAATTATGTGAAATGCATATGGCCCCTCCAGGTGTTCAAATTACCATTAACTTCTTAAATGGTCTCCTTAGTCAACTAGGAGCAAGGGGCGGCGCACTACGCCGAGTAAGCTAATCTTGGACAAGTCACGCGCTGTATCTTTATACAGTAGCATCTTGCAAAGATGCACTCAGGCTTATTGCGCACTGGTACAAAATCCCCTCCTACTGTCATTTGAAGCTACTAAAGTCTGAACAACAGGATTCCTCAGATGGACGACATCTGAACGGTATCTCGGATGTGTATCAAGCGTTAATGTTCAGTTGTAGCAAAAGTTCTGCGAATTATCACAGGCAAATCTGCATCAAGGTCATAATTCCAAATTTTGTATTGTCTGTGGCCAGGGGACAGTTCTTACGAGATAAAAATGTTGGTTGCAATTCCATTTATTTTTGGACAGCAGTACTTAAGTACGCACAACGCCGCCGCCCTTCGAATTATTACTGCAATATTCTCAGACTGCTGACAGTCAGCACCTGTTCATTGTGACCAGGTGGTACCACTACACCAGCACTTTGATCTTAAATAAAAATACGTGCAATAAACATTGCCGTGGGCTTACAAGCTAACTACAACAAGGCAAAGATCACTAAGCCGCCAGTCACGAACGACAGCTAAAGGAAACCATGGAATGATATTATGTTAGAGGAGGTACCCAATATAAAGTATTATGCACCAGTCGCGTGAATGATGTCGAAACTAACCGGGATTGCTCAGTCGCTAGAGCGTCATACTCAGAACCGAGAAGACATCGGTTCCAGCCTCACTCTGGTTAATGATGGTCTATTTTTAAAAACTGATAACTGAGTAGTCTGTGGAACGAAAACAGGCGACTACACACCATGTTTCCAACACAGCTGTCGACGTTGCCTCTAAAGTAAGGTACATCAGGCTGATGGCATGGAAATGGAATTGCATCCCACCATCACCATCACGAAATGTAGAGTTCTACAAATGGACCCATCATGAAAGTGCGGAAAAAAACCAAAATTCCGATGCTTGCAAACTTTCGTTTCTTTTCCTGTCAGAAATTACCCTCCTAAAGGGAACTAACTCCCGGACCTGGTATAATTGAATTCGAGCAAATACAGGAGGATGGCATCACGGAAATGGGTAAAAGGATCATTATTCATACTGCGGTCGTATTTGTGCCAATGTGGAACGCCATGACGCTTGTGTCGATAACTTGTGATTGCGTTGTGTGTGGAGTGATGGTACTATTTGATTAAGAACAAGCAGATGTTAATGACCATCGCTAGGAAAAACCTTTCAGAATAACTCAGTCACCGCAGCGTTAGGCGATCTTACTAAATGGTCCCGAAACAAAATAGAAATGTGCTCAGAAGTTTCCCTTCATTACATCCATTAACTAGATGCAAATCTGTTCAACGACAACAGCACTCTACGTGGATCTGTTTGTGACAATGAAACATGACCACGGAATAGCAAAGAACGTTGCTGGACGTAAATTTCAGGTAAACATTACAAATCTGAGTTACCTTGTTGTTCATATTTTGTTAGCATTAGACGGAAATTACAACAGAGATTACACGAAACAGTTGATCAGTCAAGGAAAGGAAAGGGCCCTTCGCGGCACACCAATCAATTTAAATCAGAAACAGTTACTGGCATGGCTGAGTGTTGTTATTTTGTCACCGTAATCTGAAGTTAACAGAGCATAAACAGCGGAATACCGCGATTTATGGTGTCTGATCTTTAGAAATGGTAATTCAGATTGATATTAGGCAATGTTCACGGCTGAGGCGAAGGCCACTTCTTCTTTGCGAGCAGGTCTGGCATGGATGCCATAGCACAGCCACCTTCCTTTAGGTTTGAAAATAACATAGTAAAGAACAGAATTTGAATACAATCTGCTGGATCAGCTGCGGCTAGGGTTGTAAAACCACGCCGAGGCAAAATTCGGTTACCTCATCTTTCGCAGAAGCCAGAGATGAATCTTTCTTAATCAATTCCTTGACTTCTTTGCCCTTTCCCTCGTACGCAAGGGAACAAATTTCCGAATTTGACATAGCGGCTTCCTGCCTAAATATACAAGTAAATTAGATACAAGAAAAATACGATGAAAAATGGCGAACTGATGACTTACAATCATACACAACTTACATCAACAGGTGTTCAGAGCTGCTGATGATATTAATGCAAAAGTTGCACAGATTTACATGATAAAACGATCTCAAGTTCATATTCATCAAAATGTCGCCCACTTTTTCAGCTCACCCAAAAAGCGTCATCCTTTGTTCGAATGGTACATGGTCGGGAGAAAAAAAAATATTTGTCGCAATTTCTTTCAGAATTAATACAAAATAGCGTCAGTCAAAAAGACAAACACATAGAATACTCAAATTTATGCATGTTACGAAGTTTATGACAAAGATTATTTAAAGAACATGTTTCGATATCGAAACCGGGTTTAAACCACAAACCTTGATATAAGTGTGTAAGATCAAACTGGAGGAAATCGTTGACCCGGTAGCGTAATCTATAGTCTGTGCAAGGAATGGATTTGGTAATTCGTTGCTGAGGAATGACAACAATCCGTTGCATGTCAAATTCAAACGAGGGGTCCCTTCGCTTTCTTGCGATATTACAAGCAACGAACGTCGTTCCAGCACGTCCTTGTGATTTTGTGAAGGCCTAAGACCTTCTGGCTCTGAAAATATCATCTGCTGCGGACAACCAACCACATTCACGAAACCTCACCAACAACCTACCTTGAAGAAGCCCCGTGAAACACGGGCCGAAACTTTGGTATTGGTCAATCACCGGACCGACCATAGTATCTTTTGCTTTGTGCATAAGTAAACTGTTTTACGCTATTTTTTCAGACATGTATTTATTAACTTATTTCAACATACAAACTTACATTTGCCGCTGAAAGCTTGTTTCCAGCAGCTGAACCTCATTTAACCGCTGAGGGGTATCAGATGATAAAGAGGTTGCATGGTGATTTCTGAAACTCATTTCAGTTCTGTCTTCCTCTTCAATAAATTGTCACTTTAAACCTACTAGACACAAGGAAACAGACAAACGATAGTCTTTATTATCGTCGTTGTTATTAGTCATGGTCATCTGAGGCCAGAAGAGCTGAAACAGCTGAGTAACCCAGATTTATGATGCCTCTCCCCTGATAGTGATCATTTCTGGTGGCAGAGCGGCCGCTGTATACGACGCCTGTGCGACGCGCCGTTTACATCCACAGGATGGTTAAACCGCTTTTACCAAGATTTCTGAGACACAAAAGCTCAATTTATATTATAACGCCGACGTTTCAGCGCCAGGGCAAATGACGCTTCTTTGAGAATTGCCACTGTAGCTTGGCTGAAAGGTCAACAGTTAAACAGACTATCACCGCTGTTTTCTATTGCTTAGAATTACCGAAGTGACTATTTATTTCTGTTGCAAGATATTCGTCATAATTAGATGTACTACGGATTTATTCAATGCTTTCGTTTTAGATCAAGAATTCTGAACCAGTTTCTAGTAGCCACTACCCGTGAGTGATATGGGCACTGAAATCTCTTTGATGGACGTTCCACGTCAAGGATATTGTTACCGAGTTAAGTAGCATCGCTTAATAGGCAGGCAGCAAGTGGTATTTGTGTTAAAGAGGAGTTGGGAGAAAAGGCTGGCAAAGCATCTGATGCGGCCGGTGACGCAGGGGCACATACTACGTAGCCAATGACATGGCGATCTTATC